CTGGCTCCTGCCCAGAGAGTACCTCACCTGATCTTGTGAACATTGAGGCCACCTGGTAGGTTGATCCAACCACTGGGACTCCCTCAGAGTTGTACCCTGGCCTCAGAAGGCGTGGTTCTCTGAGCTGGGGCTGACCTACTCAATTTCTTCCATTTCATCATTCTTACATCTATTCAGCAAGACTCTTAGACTTGGAGTCTTCTTGGGGTATAAGGCTGTCTTTTTCTTCTAGGGAGGACTTTAAACTTAGAAGTGCAGCATGAGGAGATGCAGGGAAACTGGTTGTTGTTGGGGGTGGGTACTAGGTGGTCCAAGGAAAATTTGGGAGATTCTCCTTACTCTGTTGCCCCAAACAACTGAAACTCCGAAGTCAGACCTATCATTCAGCATGGTCCTGAAGCTTAGGAGAGGAGACCACCCGTGGAGTGTTCTAAGCTTTGTGGAATCAGATAGATCAGCCTTGCTTGAGGCTTCTCCTGCCCCATAATTGCCTAACAAACATCCAGGCAGGAGCTGGCAGCCTCGGGTGACTTCTGAGGCCCTTAACTATTTCTTCCCTCAAGAGCCTCTCCTGGAACCCTTAAAAGTCCCACCTTCCTACTTCCTGCCCTGCCTCTTGTCTACCAGGCCAAGGGGCTATGGGGAAATGGTGGGGATACCCACATTGCAGCAGCTGTTCCCGAAACCCTCGCCTTCAGGCCCGGCCCTTACCTCCTCAACCATGCCATTCCCTGGCCTGGCACCTTGGAGCACCACCCAGGATGTAAATTTATAGTGGCTGTTGAGCTAAGTATTTTATAAGGCATGGGCTGGGCTCCTTTTCTCTAGAAGTCAGAAGGTGGGGGTTGAAGAGATCTTACCATTGGATAACAGACTGCAGCATGGCAACGCTGGTATCTGACAACACCTCCACTAGCCATAGTTTCCTAGCATCAACATTTCAACAGCTCCACCTGGTAATACCACCCTGGCAGCATCCTACTGTACTAGAAATACCACCTTGAGTCACCACACATAAATCTAGCCCCTAGCCATTTACATCAAAGTTTCTTCCCTCTAATTTTAATGACCGTACTTGGTGAGATTCTGCCCAGTTACTATAATGAGGTGATGATAGTATAACTGCAAAACTTTTAAAATACTTACTACATGCCAAGCACTGTCCTAAGTACTCCTATTTAACCTTCATACCAGTTTTATGGGAGAGGTACCTTGTTATCACCATTGACAGGTGGGGAAACTGAGGCTCAAAGAAATTTCGGAACTTTCCCAAGAGTAAATTAGCAAAGAGTAATGGTAGACCTGGGCTATAAGCCAGGTAATCTGTTTTTAGGATCTTTGCATTAATTCCGCTGCCCTGCCTCCCAAGAAGCTCAAGGTACCCAGTGGCCTCCTCTTGAGGCCTAAACTTAAAAGAGAATTTGCTATGGTGTAGGGAGAAGCTGCACAGACAGGTGGAGAGCAATAGGGGGCGCTGTGACTTTCATTTGCCTGAGGCTGTGAGGCTGGGCTAGACCTAGAGAAGTTCAAAAATGACTGGGAGGGTGGTCCCATGGCAGAGTGGGGCACTGTCTGTCTGATCGCCAGGGACAAACCCTGGTCTTCACTACTGTCCGAGATGGAAGGGGTGGTGTTAAAAAAAATGGAGCTAGGGCCTGCTCCATGCTCCTGAGACTAGTAGGGCTGGAAAGGTTGTTCCTCTGCTCACAGTGGACTGGTATCTCAGCAAAGTGCTTGGGCTCCAGGCCTGGAGGTTTGGCGGTAAGAAAGTAGGCAGTAGGAAAAGAGTGGTGAAGAGAACCACTGGAGACGTGGACTGTATGCACCTGAAGGACCACATATGTAAGTGACAAGGCTACAACCAAACTCATCATCAGAACATGTGACAACTCAATTCTGCACTTATCACATAGGTCCATGCTTCTCCTCTCTGAGTGTCAGAGAGGTTTAAAACATTGCCTCCCCACTATGGTGATGGCACACATGTGAACTGGTGGTGGGGAGCCCACGGGGATTACAATTGAGATGGAAAAAGGCACAAAATGATGTAAAAATAAACTATTACAATTTAAAAAAATAAAATAAAATTAGGTCACCCACCTGAAAATGTAACATGGAAATGTATGTAATAGAATGAAATTAATATTAATTACTTTGATCAACTCATTTGTTCATATTGAAAATATAGTTATCACACACTTTTCAATAAATAGTAAGTCTTAATTTATCATTTTTTATCCTCACTTACAAACTTGAATTAGTAAATAAAATTGTATTTGCAATTAAATGAGATGCTATATACAGTTGACCCTTGAACAGCGGTTTAAATTGTGTGAGTCTACTCATCTGTCCTTATAAACAGATGATAGATAGAAACCACAGCACAGTCCTGTAAGTACTGTAAATGTTTTCTTTTCCTTATTGCTGTCTTAATACCACTTTCTCTAACTTACTTTATTGTAAGGAGACAGTATATGAAACATACAAAATATGTATTAATTAACTTTATGTTATTGGTAAAGCTTCTGGCTACTAGTTATTTGGTGAGAGTCAAAATACTCAGACTTTTCCTCTGTGAGGGGGCAGGGGCCTCAGCACCCCTAACCTCTGAATTGCTCAACTGTATAAAGCACTTAGCACTGTGCTAACCAGCAGCCAGTGGGTGCTTAAAAACTGTTAACAGTTATGCTAGCAGTGTCCTGATTGGTTAACAGTGAATGTGTCTCTGGTGGTGGGTTATGAGGCTCTATCCTGACCAAGAGTATGGATGGGAATTGAAGTCACAGGGAGTAGCCAGGACCTAAACTTAGAGAAAACAGTGGGCAATAGAATAAGAATTCAGAATAATTTCAACAGGCTGGAATAAACAAGGTGACACAGCCCTCCTGTGAGCGTCAAGACATTCCACAAAGCACAGGATGGGGGATCTGACTTGACCCTTGCTCCAGTGAAAAGAATCTGAATGATTTAGTTGATCGGAACCTGATGGAAACTAGTCATGGGAGAGAAAGGGTCTGCAGCCCAAAAGTCCTTAGTCTGCATTAACAATGTGTCCTGTCCAGACTGGGGGAAATAATAAGCCTATTGTGCTGGCTTGGTCAGGCCATATCTGGAATCTTGCACAGCTACAGTGATGCATTGGAATCAGGCCAGGAGGGAGACTGACCAGTCCAGCCTCAGCTTGCAGGCATTCATGCTGAGCATTTCCTGTGTATTTTCTTGTTTCATACCCCAAACAACCCTATCAGGTAGTCACTATTAATATCCCTACTTTATACACTTAAAGAAAGAGGTTAATTAAGTGACTTGCCAGGATCAGCCACACAGCTAGTAGATGGAGGAGCCTCAGGCTTTTCCAAATGGGTTCCTCTTGTGTTTGTACTTGAGGGAGACTGAGCATGCATCACTGAACACGTATTTATTAAGTTCCTGCCACAAATTAGGGCGCAAGCTAGCTAGTGGGGAGGTACCATGAAAAGGACATGGTTCTTACCTCCCAGAAGCTCACGGTCTGGTGGGGATCCAAATCACTTGTGATTCCATAGGCGTGTGAAGAAACAGTAGAGTCCGCCTCAATTGACTCAAATTCAGAGAAGGGAAGAGACAAAATAGTGTCGCACAGCTTTGTTGGAATCGTGGGAATCGAATGGTGCCCTTTTCACTGTATTTAATTGCTTCACTTTGGCTCTCATCTGCTCAGCAGGGGCCAAGAGCTGTGTGCCAAGATGGGATCTGGTAGGCATACAAGGAAGCTTGATGTGGCTCTCATCCCAGGGCAGCCAAACCTCATCTCTCCTCCTAGTAGTAAAAGATTTTAAGAAAGGAAAAAGAAGCCTGAGATTGAGCAAACTTAGAGACAGGGTGAGTGACCTTTCACTAATCAGAGTGAACTTCACCCCACCTGGCCTCCTGAATGTCCAGGAAGCCTGGGGTGATGTTGGCATAAGGGGCCAGAGATACTAGAAAAGAATGTTCTCTGGCAACTGTGTGTATGGCCTGTGTTCTAGACTAGTCTGCCCATCACCTTTCAAAGACAGATTACTCAGTATTCTCTTTTTCACGTCTTTCCTTGATTGCTTCAAAGCAGGGTGCCACTGCAGCTTTGGATTTCCCGGGACTTCTTGTTGGGGAGATACATGAACCCTGTTCAACCTTCTGGGGTTTTTTGCTGGTGGGGGCAGAAGAAGGCTCTGGAATTGGATAAAACCTCCCAGGCTTGGTTTTGCCACATAACAGCTGTTTCCCTTCTTTGAGCCTCCTTTTCCTTAGCTGTAAAATGGGGTTAATAATAGTACTGCCCTCACGCAGAGGTTATGAGAAGGCGCCATAAAAGGTCTATTACTATCAGACAGGGGCTGTGACAGCTCTGCCACTGGGTAGCTCCTTGTGGGCAGGGACAGTGGCTTCCATTTCCTCCCCCATCTCTGAGGGCCCCAAAAATGCCAAAGACAAGGGATGTGGTCGACCTTGGGGACAGGGAGAAAAAAAAAGGGAGGGGTGCATGGCAGGCAAGTCCAGAGCTACTTCTTTCGGGCTTGGAGGAGAAAGAGACCTGCCTGACTCCAGACTTTAAAGGCAGCAGTGGGCTTCCGGGCCCCACCTTTTCTAGGCGGGGGTTGCG